TATAAAGAGAAAGGTATGTTCTTTCATCTCCAGTCAAATTTAACCGTTTTTCATCAGACACATTAAAGAAATTGTCAAACGTCCCCAATTTTCCTGTGAGATTACCTTGGAAATAGTTAATATACGCAAAAGTTCGTCGGCTTGGTATCCAAAAAAGCGCTTTTCAAAGAGGTAACCTATTAAGGAAACTTTTTTATTAGTCTTAGGAATCACAGTATGCGTGGTATTTAGCAGACATGCTGTATGCTGGAAAATGTGGTTTGCTCTCTTGAGGCATTTCCATATTTGACCAACATGGCCATCTGCATAGGAAATAATATCCAAGAGCTCGTTTTTTCGGTGAATGCTGTTTAGTTATATCTTATTTTAAAGGGTTTGATGTCAACGTCGAAAAAACGGACAAATAGCAAACTTATCAATGAATGCATGGACAACTAGTGAAATGAAGAGAGAATTTGTTCATCGATATTCAATATTAACGTATATAATCATTTCCACATTTACAAAATATTTTGACTAAAGGCAAGTTCTTTTTGTATAAAGAAAGTGGTCGCTTTAAGTTTTGTACTTAACAAACTATTTAAATTTATTGTTCTAAGTTACAACTATTTTTGACTTCTCCACAAGCTGGGAAATATCGAGAAAGTTTTTTTTTTTAACAAACACTAAGTACTTCTTATAGTTCTTTTAAGTACTTAATATGCCAAATGCTGCCCATTATTATTTATAAGCTTTCTTAAATGCGTTCCAGCTGGTATGGGAGAAATAATAAAACATTTACAAATTTAGGAAAGTTGCTTGCAGCACTCGCAGGACTTTAAATGTCATGCTGATATATGGTGTAAGACGAAAATGCATTCTTTAATAAAAACCAAATCGTTTTGTCTCAATGTGTACTAAGGTAAACGATCCAGCTTTTACTTTCTCAGAGGTCTTGGAAATCCTTTAACCTTCCCCGTACATCTGTTGGTCGAAAGACTTTTCATACAAAGCCTTAACAGCACGGAGTAGTCACTTGCCTCAGTGGTTACACTGCACTCCTTCAATCACCTTCCTCCGCGGAGGTAGGCACCTCCACATATTTTGTTACGTTTTACTGAAGGCGACTTCTACTGCGGTCAGTAATAGCGGATCGCTTTTCGCCTAATCACTAAGTCTAAGTCACGCCTAAGTCACTATAAGTCTTCGTGACTCTCACCTATAAGCTGTGTGCGATTGCCATAAAATTCGTCTGCGTAATGTGGACTGCCGACTGATACCGATGCAGGACAGTGCAGAATGCATGTGAGATTTCCAGGATCAGGCAAAATAAGACAGGTCTTATGCGCAAGGTTGAGCGTGGCCTTGTTTTTTCTAAATAGCTAGTCAAAACTCAGCATTGGTCAGACAGCATGTGAGCCAATAAATCCGGCCTTTTACTCTAAGTAAACTCTATGATCTAAGGTATTCGTAAGTACGCCTTAGCAGAATTGCAATTGTGTTAATAGATTTTTAGCTAGCCGCTTGAAGTCACACAAAACAGACTAACCAGATAATGACTAGTTTCCCAGCTGACGGCATTTCTGGTCCTGTTTGTGCAACGAAGACGGCGGCGCTGCTGATAAAGACTGATGGTCCGTCCGCCAGTAGAGTCGCCAGAAGAGGACAGCTAAATCTCGAAACCAACTTATCCACGCCGTACCGATCACAGCCGTCAAAGATTTCTGGTAGTGCCACTACCCTAAATGCAACATACAGACACTGATAAAGATGTGTTTGTATTTTTTATAATTTGAGGTACTTATTTTCCATCATAAAGTGTAAATTCAAATACAGGCAGCCAGCGCAAAAAGTACGCTGAGCCGATTCACAGTTGCATTTAAAACGCGAAGTACGCACGTTTATTTTTTCGTTTTATAACGTTCCATTAAAATTTTGACCAAGTTACGCGTTTATGCCGCGTTTGGTATGCTACTGGAAGACAGTTTAACGCATTGGAACGTTCTTTATATTAAGCCTTTAGGGATATTATTCGGATCTGTTGTCGAATGCCGCGGGGCGGATGCTGGAACTGTTCGGCCCGAGATCAACTATGCTGTTGGCAAAATGGTAACAGTATATACTCTATCTGCAGTATTCTTGATTCCATATTGGCGAGAAGGGACTTAAATCCTTACGAGAGATCTGCAGTGTGGACAACGACTAACATATTCAGTATCCTGAGTGTTACTCTAAAATCTCGCATGATTTCAGCCATGTACTTATCCTTGTCTTTTTTCGTGCGTATCATGTACTCTGCACGCGGAAAAGACGCAAACGCAGAAACACTCCTTGATTGTTTTGCGCTGGAAAATGCCTTAAAGAGCTAAAACATATGAAAGAGTAGACTCTCATAAGCAGTTATAGGCGTTAGCTTTTGAACTGGCCAAAACACTAGCCCAGCTTAACCAGAGAACCTGTTGCAGATGATATGGTAAACGCATTCTAACTCGACGTCAGACTTCGGATAGCTTAACGTACAAGCAGCTTCTGCATAAACCGCACAACTTTGAATGCCTCCAGGACTTGTTGACTGGACGGGCCCGATAAATGAAAGTCGGGCGTCAGTAGTCCTCAAACGTACACGTAGTAGCGCCCAATTTTAGGGCCCGTGCAATTCCATTTTTTCACGAATGACTACGTCACACAAACTGTGATGTCATCCTGTTCACTGACGTAACATTGTGCAAACCTGTCCAAAGGGCGTCGGACGAAGGCCATATATACACAAACTTGATTCGGCTCGACGACTGATTGAAGTGTTAACTTATGCCCTTCAGTATAAGTAAGTGTGGATGTCTTTGAAATAGCAAATGCATTGTCTAAAGTCAGAATCTCCATTTTCTGAATAGTCGAATGCTGCAACGATGCAAGAGCCAGAAGGACGTAGATGTGTAGATTACACCCTCACACAAATTAACACTGCAACTTTCGAAGTCGGCCAACTCGCTCGTGTTTATATTACAACTCAACAGACAAGTCTTTCTGGGGTTGGACAAAGGGCGTTTTTCCCAAGAACTGCAACCTAATCTGGAACAGGCTATACAGGGATGACGACTTTGAGCCGTCAGAGACTGTACGGATTAGAGATGGTGCAGCCGCGAGCGACGTAAATTATCGAACCTTCGTGGTCACTGTTCTGCGGAAGCATACAGGGGACACTTAGTCTCGCTCCCTTTCCTATAACAAGATAACAACAGCGATCGAATACTCACCTTCCTCAATATGCATGAGCTGAACTATCCCAAAAGATCCTTCCACGCTCACAGTGCGTGGGCATTTACGTATGGCGAAGCTTGGGATCGATATGCGCAATAATTTTTTTTCAGCACCACAGTAACTGCATTGTGGAACAGTGTATTCAATGACGTTGTTCTCACCTCAAATGCCGTTTTGTTTAGTCGCAATCGAAACGCCTTACAATATTCGTATGCCGGTCACAAATCCGATCATATTTTAAATCATCCATAACCAAACCTTTTACAATAAATATGCACTAGATCCTATTTATGTTTTGAAGTTTGCGGCCAGCTACTAGTCAACACATTATTTAAACAATATTTTGACTGTCTTTATATATTTGTGAAATTTATCTGACCCTTTTGTAACCAAGTGGAGTTAAAAGTCATTCACTTATCCCTTCCTCTTCAAGCCGAAACTAAAATTAGCTAATCCTGGTGGGGCAAAAGCGTTTGCAAAGTGCAAAAAACTTCTGCATATTGTTAACAGTAATATGTTTACTATTCATCATTCACGTTTTAAAACAGAAAACATAATGGCACGTATTTTATATGCGCTTACGGGCTGGTAGTTGCAAAGCCGATGAACCAAGCTTTTACCATATAACGTAGATAGATAAATGGATTTCGAAGAGCGATTGCTCCATACACGATAATCCACAGGAAGAAGAGGACACCGAGGCCCGCCGTCACAGTAAGAACAAACATTCCCAAGCCTGCAAAGGCTGTTGTAATATCCTCGACATTCAGTATTGCGGCGGCAATCATGAAGGCAACTGCCACTGGTGTGCATCTAGAGAAATGCAAATTTTTTATTATACGTTGGCTGTAAATGGTTCATATTAATTTACCCGAAATCATTCCACTGGCTGCGATTATTTTCTCCGAAAGAGAATGAAATGTTTTTGACAGCAAATTCAAGTCTTGTATTAAACCGAACTTACTGCAAAAATACGTTTACGAGTTTGAGAACGACTCCAGAGAGGGACCGAAAGAAGTCCAAGAAGGGCTTCCCAATCTCCCCAGCCTTTCTAGCCGCCAGACCGAATGCGATACAGGTGAGAAGAACGCCTGAGAATTGTGAACAGAAGGTTGTATTGACTATGATGATGAGGATACAAAGCAACCTTTTAAAAGTGCAGAGTACTATGGCGGTGAGGCTATAACAGCAAAACCGATAACTCTTGTTAATATATCCCTCCATGTTGTGCAACACCGGACGATAAACGTCTGCGCTTAACTGCTTTAAAAAATTGGCATCAGATTATGAAATATTAGCATGCACTATTTTTTTCTGCAAGCTCAGTCAGAAGGTGACGAAAGCAGGTTACCTCAAATCAAGATCCTGAACACAGCAGAGGTTTAATAAATGAATTTCACTTAAAATCCTTCTGATATGATTTGACCAACAAGCTACTTCCATGGAAAAATGACAGTAGCGAAGCCACGTATAGTTAGGAAAAACATACTAATGATGGTCGATAAGCTGCAAATGGTCATTTAAGTCACCCCTGTCCATGTCGGTATGATCATACTGCCCATTCTTCAAGTCGTTCTGTGTCCACCACTGGACTCTGAATCGAACCAAAAAGCAAGGCGGGACGATGGTGTCCCTTAAGCGGATTGCTAAAGACATTTCCTGCCTAGTTACCATTTCCCAAGGCCCTCATTTCCAAAATATTGATGTTAGAGGATACTGGTCGAATTATCCTAAGTTTGTATAAACGTAAGACTGTAATAAGAGTCTTTTTGGTCCTTTTCAATTTCGCATTTCTTACTCTTCGTTAATTCGTCAAAATAAAATTAATTCACATACTTCAAATACTGAGACAGCATATGGAAACATCAATATGCATCACTGCAAAAGCATTACGCTGAGCCGCATTATTACAAAACAAGAAGTGGAAAAAAAGTAGATGCGATCGCGGGGACAAAAACTTCATGGGACGTACGTTTAACTTTGTATTGGCAAGACAAAAAACGTCATAAGGATTAGAGTTCCCTGAGCAGAAGAAGAAGACTCGATCGCTGGGAAAATATGTTTATTCGCCTGACGTTTCGATATCCGCGTCGGATATCGAAACGTCAGGCGAATAAACATATTGTCCCAGCGATGGAGTCTTCTTCTTCTCAATTGCTTCCTGGGACACGGATGTTCGCTTGTATTGGCAATAACAGTTCCCTATTTTTCCAATCTTGTCCTTGCAGTTGTGCCTTTTATAGACCTTTAGGTTTACCTTCTTATTAAACTGTTCAAAAGGACTGTTTATAATACCTACATCCGTTGAGTTACTTCAGCCTAGCTTTTTCATTATAAGTGTGCGTGCGAACCATTGGAACGAAAAAAGTAATGAGTGGCATAAATTTGTTGTGAATATATAAAAAACATACCAATAAGGTCTGTGGAATTTTCGTTAACTCGTTCAGAATATTTTTCTGTTTTATTTGGATCTTTCCAGAAATATGCAGTCTTTGTCTAAAATGAAATGCACATTGGTCGGTTGGCAATCAAAGCAACTTTCTTAATTATTATGAGTTACTATAACTATTAATTTTTTTTATGTATTACGTAATTATAAATTAAGATCACTGATTCAAAGAAGGGGCAAGATTAAAAAATTGATAGATCTTTGAAAATATCCCAAAACAGGACGCCTGGTTATGTGTATATTTTTAAAATGTTCGAACTTACACTAAACAGGGTCATTCCAACGATGTTGTCCGGAAACATGTTTCTAGGTAAAAAAAGATGTATGAAACACCTGTATGTTATTATGTTGTTCCCCGTTATTGGTCGTAAACAGCCTGGGTTTTAAACCAGATGTTCCATATATGAAATACCTACCACAACGGAAACACAAATAAACTGCATGTGATGAAACAGTACGTACAGCAGAAGATCAGCGAATACATCCGACGAGGTAGGAGTAAGTTCCCTGTCCTGGACTTCTGCCGATGCTGTCATGTTTACGCCGACACCTATTGATAAATAGCAGCACTGTAGTTGTGAAAGTGTGTCGATGCCTTGTCTACTTACACGCAAATTATATCTTCCAATAGGCTATGTGAAAGGGGCCAACGCCTAAGGAGCGTGCGCTCAAGGCTTCTACTGTTTGTTAGAAAGAACAACAAAAAACTTTCAACTTAAATTTGATCACTAAAATATGCTTGAATATAAACCTTCTTGCACGCTTGTGTTTGGCCTTGAAAATAATGTATGGCTGTTTTAAAACCTTCCTAGAATACTTACTCAATTTGTGAAATAGAACTAGTTATGCAAGACGGCGAAGCTTAGCAATGTTACTGCAATCTGCACTCTCTACACCTTCGTCCAAGAAAATTATGAGCCAGAAATGTCCATTCTGGTCTCCTCTGTCTTTGCCGGCAATTTTCATCTCCCTATGTGTCATTCCTTCTTTATGGAGAAGTGTCCTGCTGTTGAATAAATCCTGGCATTCATGACAAAAACACGGAAATTCGATAACTACAAGTTACAAGTGATAAACAAAACATGCGAGTTGGTAGCAAAATCATGCAGTTGTCAGGGTCGAGGGGAATTGGAGTGAGACATTTGATTGGCGTCAGAAAGAACTGGCCCCCGGGAAGGGTAGTAAGCTGGGGGGATTGAATTGGCGACTTTCGGCCGTGGTAAGAATTTCTTTTGTGCGCACAGGAACGGTTTTCTTAACCTGATGGCAGCCGCTTCTATCGTAGCCAGCACATGCTGTCCAAGGGATTTTGAATATCTTAAGGGTCCCTTGTAAGTCACTTGAACAGCCTCTTTGGTATCCCCCCTCGGTCACGATAACAGCAGGAGTTCTCTCTATTACTAAGTTCATAACAATATAAATGTACAGACCCGAAAATAATTTATTGAATGCAGACGTATGCTGATTAATTTACCTTTCAAAGTTGTCAATGGGAATTTTTGGAATCTTCAAGGCAATAATTTACCTAGAAGCATGAACCGTTTGCTTGCCCGAACGTTTTAAGTTCTTTCTTAATTCGTCGCCGCGTCCATCTCTCTTCAACTTATTTCCTATACGTGAGTATATACTTGTCTTTCAGAGCTTATTGAAAAATATTGCACGGGCAGGCGCCAGACGATGTGGGTTCTCTGTCAGGAGAAGTGTGTCTAGTATTTGAGAGTGTTCATGTCATATGCACGCGTTCCTGTTCTTTGACAGGCAGTTTTTGTGCACTAATGAGCGAGGATTTTCCTATAAAATCACAATAATCCGCGTAGTAAACGCTATATCGTATTCCGTTTACAACACATTTTCGAGTCAAGTAACCAATCCTATACTTAAGGTGTGTTAATCGCATTATTCCTTACCTCTTGGATTGTGTCGTTGGTATTTGATATTTTCTTCTTGCTATGCCAATTCGATTATAAGGATCCTCAGTATCAATAAGGGTTTGCTAGCACTTCGTTTGCACCTTTGGTTGGATTTAGGTATCATAACTTAAGTTGTAAGTTTCACAGCAAATTTCAAAGTAAAACTAAGCATGGACTCTCATATTAAGGTACTTATTCGAACAGTTGGTGTATAAATAAGTAAAAAATTATTGCAGCAGCAAAATGTGAAGTAGACTACCTACAGTAATCCGTTTTTAAAATGCTATATTTAAGAATACAAGTTTAGCGGACGTATGCTTTCGATTATTTATCAGCAGGCCTTTGCAATAGTATAAGGGAGGGTAGAATAAAAGAACGCTTAAACATACAATACAGAGTACCTATGGGGGAGAGAGTTCAGAGTCTGCAATTACAGGTGTTATAATCTTGCTTTATCAGGTGCGCTGCAGCGGGACGTGGCAGGAGGTAGGAACACACATGTCGAGTTTGTTTTTGGCCAGTGCAGTCTTGGGGCATGTGAGCGTAAAGTTGGTTTGGTCAGCCATATGGCCATTGCCTTTGCTGTCGCAAGTATCCGCTGACATAAGAGCCTTGGGACAGTATAGATTACTCTTAATATGCAACCCTCTCCCCATACTTTCTGTTTAATGGACGCTTAAACTTTTGTAACTCTGCCCTCCCTAATATTATTGTAAAGGCGTGATTATGAATAACCATAGGCGATTATTCGTGCATCCTCACATCTCAAATGTTTACTGGGGTATCACTGCTGGACTACATAATCGATCTTATAGTGTCGCTGACTTCCGCATCAATATGGCATTGTAAATTAGTATAAATAGTTTTATTTGTTATAATCTTCGTAATTTTCCTTAGATGTTGATGCATTTGTGAACTTCTGCGGTCGTAAATTCACAATCAGCGTAGCATTTCTAGTTGTGGTCCTCATGTAAATGAAAAATATTCAACCAAGCACTTTCAGGTCTTTTTTTAAATTGAAGCACGTCGAATATATTTTAGTGGGGGCCTAGTGTTCTGCCGAAGGCATGAATTCACCGGTGGCGGTCTCACATTCTCTTTCCCTTATTTCATAGACTATTTGAAACTCGAACACAGTGTGAAGGCCAAAATCTAAGGCATGTCACGGACATCAACAGCAGTAGTTATTTGCTCGCGTTGACTGAACACAGTCAGTTAAACGAGTGCCGTGAATCAAGCAAGGAAAAGAAACCTTACAGGGACATAGTGGAACTGTTGCTGACATTGACCTCAAGTTATGGGCATTTGCAAGACTTAACTGAACAAATCATTGTCTTTTAGATTTTTATAACATGCATCGATTTCCGATCGTCGTCATAATGCGGCATGATTTTCAAAAACAAACCCAAACTGAAAAGTTACTATGCGTAACTCACTTAAGCAAAAGCCTTAAAAAACCATCAAAAAGTTTCGTATAAACAAAGGTTATGCCCACGAAACGATGTTTCTGAAAGGAAGGCTTTTAGGTAGTAAATTGACAAACCTGGCTTTATTAAGGTAGCCATTGTGGTGCCTATTGCAGCTCCGGCAAAATTGAAGAAAATGATGTATGCTACCGTTAGCAGACTGTCAAGCCCGTGCTCCTTCGGATCCAGCGAGGAAATGACTAAAAATGAGAGCAGAAATGAACCTGCTAACATCGTTCTAGAAGACTTTCATAAATCAAAAAGATGATTGTTAACCATTTTTGGGAAGTTTTTAAGTCGAATTATCTAAAAATCCTCAAAGGTTTCATTCGGACAGTAAGTCTAAGTTTCGTCAAGAAACCTAGGTAGAGCGATCAACATCAGATGGTTCCTCAGTCATTTTAATCCCGTTTGCTTTCATAAAGCTTAAGCAATAGGAGCAAGTTCGGTAGACTTCAATTATTTTTTCAGGGCATTCTTGGCCCCGTAACTGCAGTAAATTTTTAGCAATGGAAGCATGTTACAAAATATGTACGTTTAAAGCACATGAACGTTCGACAAACAGGGACACGTTGTCTCTGATCAGTTAGTTGGCTTGCATGATATTGCATTAAACGCACTGGTCGACAAAGCGTTAACAGTCCTTTTACTGTGACTTACCATACTAACAGCTGCGAGAGGTCCGGCTCATAAGTGGGTCCCCAGATTCCGCTATCTGCTTTCTGGTTGATATACAGGTTTTCAAAGTTCAGCAGTGGTTGAAGGGTTTCAACCCAAATATGCACTTATAATTTCGGTCTACGCCTATAGACCTTGACTATACTGATATATACCGTGAACAGAAATTAACTTCTTTGGAGATTGAAAAACTGAATTCCTTGTTACATTTACGAGATATCTGATTATATACGATCTGGGTTTGATCTCATTCACTACACCATAGTTTCCATCATCTTCTTTGTACTAAAATGTGATTAGAGCAAGAGCCTTGCTGCGTATTAATTTCTTAATGTTCACTAAGTGGGGAGTTTAAACGAAACATTTGCCAAGAAAAGAAAAGCTTGCCATCATGGTAGAGGGAAGGTGAAAAAATAGTGTGAAGCACGTGAAATATATATCTGGCAAGAAATTTTTTAATTACAACAATAAGCGAGAAATAATTGTACCAGGAGAAATGCTTCGTTTTGCTTGCTGCAAGTTTTTGATCAGTATGTATAAAATGCACTAACTACTTATCTTGCCTCGTCCTCTCAGTTCTTGTGCTCCGCTGTGTTTCGGACAACTGTTGATATAATTTTCCTACCAACTTTTGTGACATTCCTTACACTCTACTACAGAAATAATTTCAGTTGAAGTGACGGACGACGAAGCAGCAAGTTAAGCGGTACCATGTTCCGTAAAGTGATGCAAATCATGCATAACTGTATTACTCGAAACCAGAAGTCTTCAAAATATAGCTTGGACTGCTTCACCAATTAGCGTCTATTGGAGACGGAAAAAATCTCAACAGCGGGACAATAGTGTTTAGATGGACGGCCACCAGACGGAGTTTTAGTAATAGTTTTACAAAGCAATTGCTTTCAGATGTTTTCTTAGCCGTCTGTTTTGTATAGAATTCCAGCTTGCACGCTGAGTAACGTGACGTTACATAAATAACAACACTATTATATGCAATGTAAAGCGAGTGGAACGCTGGAAACGTCTGTCCTAAAATACATGGTTAATGCATTTGTGGCCAAATCGTTTGAAGTACTGAAGTGCAAAATATTTCCTTTGGTCTCAAACACGACATCAAATGCAAATAATATTCGACCCTGCTTTTTTCAGAAAACAGCTTCTTACTGAGTGTTTTGGATGAGTAATTGTTTTACTTTTAATACCAACGTAACATACCAACAATAAGATTGGAAGCAATAAGAGGTAGGACGGCCAACTGAAGAATTCGGATGTAAATTTCGCCTGGCATTTCTAAATATAAAACAAACATTGAGGTTAAGAACACAAAACAGGTGCGCATTAATTAGTGCATCAGACAATAAGCAGTAAAACATGATTTTCTCTTTAACCATTACCTACTCAAACTGGTGATAGATGACTAACTGACGTCTTGACGTTTCTTATCCTGGACAGTATCTTTGCGTTATTTTGTCTAGATAAAATATATATACCGGCTCCAGCCAAAAGATTATTTGCCTCTATGTGTTGTACCCCTTTGCGGATGGTAATATTTTCAGGTAGAAAAAAGAAGATTGATGCACTACACGACAAGTTGAAGTAGTTGTTACGTACAACAAAGGCGCTACGCCATTTGAAAACTGCCAGTGTCGCTATTAAAAGCAGAAAATACTTTGATTCAAAGTAATGACTTAACATCTACAAAAAATATGCATATTTAGTCAAGTTTGAGTAGATATAACAGTTTAGTTACAGTCCTGAAATATATTTTGTGCACAACGACGTTGTAGGAGATTAGTAACTATTCATAAAGCTTACCAATCCAGGTAATAGCCACTGGGGAGGGGTTCAACTGTCTTACACCAAATCCGATTCCGAATCCTACGGCCACTCCGATGAGGATGAGGATCACGAAGAGGTTTTCACGCAGACAGCCCACGCAACCATCCTTTTTCTGTCTTTCATTTTCCAACTTTAGTTCGTCGCCAGCGTCATTGAAGTAGACGACCGAGTCATTCTCATGGTCTGCTGTCTTCTTGGAGGACATGGCAACCAGTTTCTGATATTTGGAAAGGGTATTGAATTGAAGACGTGGTTCGGAGCTCTTATAAACATTGCCCTGACGTTTGAGGACGTACCACGAAGGAGTGGGGGGGTTAAGCACGCGTAAAGGACATGACCTTGATTAAATCGCTGATAATGGTCTTTAATTTGTCATTGCTGAACATCTCCCCCGTCAACGGCGCTCGAAGTTTAAAGCTTCCTGTCACTTGTATGCTGAATTACCAATCAGTAAATCCAGCGCGTGACTTAAGGAGTAGTTAGAGTGACATCTGAATAGTCCACCTTCTCCTAGTATCACGCTAAGGCGGAGGCGGACTCGGATGACTTGAGTATCAAACAATAACTACATTTCCTTGGCACACTATCAGTGCACATACTTCGTCACTGGCGTTTACTCTAATAACGGTGCCTTTAAGTAAACAACTCTCTAGACTAGAACATTACGCTGAGCTTATATGTGTTACTACTGAATAGGTCAGTAATAAGATGCTATTGATTTCCACTTTGGTAGCTAGCATGAACTTTGATAGCGTTTCCCCAGAAAGCAGCCTAAAGTGAAAGGTAGCGTTCAGGTACTTTTTAATCTCTAAACCTAGAAAACGCGCAGACCTATAAGATAATGCACAAAATGTGTTTCCAACGTAGAAGTGTATGAAATGGGTCCGACAAAGCATAGAGAGACCGGAATGGCCTTTTCTGGATCACTAGTCGTCATAAGCCAGTCGTACCCATTCCCAGGTGCGGATCACCCGGGATTCCAAACCACTACCTTTGGTCGTTGAGAAGTGTACGCCAAAAATAATCTGTTATTAGGAAAACTTTCCTGTAATTTAAAACGAAACTGATACAAGATAAAATGTATAACTGAGGTAATATGCCTTCAAAGATTATAGATTTCAAGTTGGTGACACCAACTCGTCACCAGACGAAATGAGGAATGAGGGTTGGGATTATTGGAGGGACAGAGGTTATCCTACATACAGTGAACTTCTGAAGCAATCGCTCAAAATTGAAAGGGTCTCGGCATCTGCATCGCTCAGAGGTCGACGTTCTCCCTGAGGGCAGGTGTATATCACGGTAAGGACCACATACTGAAAGAACAACTAACCAATGTCATTTACCGCATTTCGTGTGCTAATTGCCCTAGGGTCTACATAAGCCATGCAGGTTGGAATCTCGGGACCCTCATAAATGAACATAAGCTGGCCATCCCAAGTTGCGATCCACTGTCTCTCGTGTTTGCGCATGCTATAGATTGTGACCACAGCTTCAGTTGGGATGGAACTGAAGTGGTCGTCAAGGCTAACACAAAACAGGGAAGATAATTACTCAAAGTTTGGCACGCCAGCACAATCAGCATCAACCGCCATGTAGATCTCGATTCAAAGTAGGAGGGTCTCCGCGCCGGGTCGACTAACCTGCGCCCA